CCCTCACCTCTTGTATAATAATGCAAAACAACTGTGAGGAACTGCTGGTGACCAACCCCAAACAGGTGCAGCTCAGTGAAAAATCTTCCAGACCTTGAATTGACTCTACCCACCAGGTTGGCCATTGACTCTTTCTAGCCAGGAAGGAGTATAAGAGGGCAGGGGCATCGCCCCAAATGCACAATTTTGATGGGGCGTGAACCAGGTGCCCCCACAAAGGTATTCCCATCCCACCCTGCCTGTCACCAAGCATCTCAGGGCCCTGGAGCCTGGCCTGGCCTTACCACTATGTCCCCAGCCTCCTCACTGAATGGCCGCCTGGCCAGCATTAAGGAGATTCACCCACCAAGGGCCATGTCAGCTGGCTGGACTCCTCTGTGTCTGGGCAAGCAAGTAGCACAGTGCAGCCCCAGCTCCAGTGGTAAGGACTGTCTTGCACAGTGGTTTCTGTTAAACCTCTTCACACGCACACATATGCCCCAGGCGCCAACAAGCAACGCAATGATGCTCTAAGAGGGCTTCCTGCCTCCTGCTGTGCTCTCTGGTTCTGCCTTCTGTTGTGCTTTCTAATCCTGACTTGCTCTATGGTCCTAGCTAGTGGAGGCTAGTGCATTAGGGTAAATGGGGTCCTGCCCCACTAAGCTCAGTCTGCTCCCAGCTGGTTCCCCACCTCCCTGCCTTCTTCCTTAGAACTAGTCCAGGGGGTGGTGCTGACTGTCAGCTTCCTCCTCTTCCTCCTTAATCTCAGTGTTGTCTTATAGCAGCAGTTCTCAACCTGTGGGTCCCCAGATGTTGTTGGACTACAACTCCCATCATCCCTAGCTAGCAAGGCTAGAGCTCAGGGATGATGGGAGTTGTAGTCCAACAACATCTGGGGACCTACAGGTTGAGAACTGCTGTCTTATAGGGAGGATGATTGGGCAAAGCTAGGGTTAGTTGACTCTGCCTGTCACTGGCTCTGATTCCACCTACTGTTGGTTTTCCAGCCCTACCAGCCCCAATGGGCACCACCCACCAATGGCTCCACCACTAGTTATTGATTTGCTCAGCCCTGACCACAGATTACCATGCCGTGTAGTTCCACAGCCATTTTGTAGCAAGCTAGCGTATTTGCCCACTGTGATGACCCAGTCCAGACACAGTGTTCCATTCCACAAGAGCTGAGTAGAACAGCAGACAATTGATTGTGCCTGCTACTGTAATGCCAAATGACATCTGGCAAACTTGCCTTTTCCTGCAACAACTTTCAGTGAAAAGCAGGCTTCACATCACACAACCCAACCGATCAGTTGCAAAATGTAGAAGCAGGGGATCTGAAATTGGGGGCAGGAGGGAGAAAGACATGCGAGAGCTGTGTCAAATTATGCATTGTGTGGAGAAATATTAACGCCCAATGCAGTCATCCAATGACACTGAATATTGGGAGATTTGGGATAGATAAAAGGAAAGACTTCTTCACATGGTTCAAACCATGGAATTTGCTCCTACAAGATGCCCCAAGGAAGCACGTGCCATGGTTATCTGTTCATTGCTCAAACCCACTTCAGACCACTTTAAATAGCTCCCCTCCTTGCTGCCCTCAGTTCCTCAGCATCCCTTTCAGTAAAGATCAGAGTGTGCCCAGGGATTTGATTTTGGTCCAATTTCAACAACGGGAGCAGAGTTCAGGCAATGCAGAGTTAAATCTATCACTGAATAGTTTGAACTCAGTCTTCACACACCATCTTGTTTTGAATTACTGGGCTCTGATCAGTCATGAAGATGGCATTTTAAAACAAACAAATAAGCAAACAAAAAGAGCAAAGACAGCTTCTCCACTTTTTAAGTCTTTTTTATCACCTGTGTGTATTTTTTATTTTGTTTTGGGTGAACATTTATTATGAATCTCTGATCTGAGGCTATTTTGGAAGGTGATTTCTATGTTCCTATGAATGCAACCAGTCATAAATCAGGCATACTCTTACAACCTGATGTGGAGTTAGATTGCAGCATTCCCACTGTCTCTAGGGAACAAAGGAGTCTCCGCTACCTGCAGCTGGAGTGGAAACACCATTTGTATTCTTCCCTCCCATTATGAATAGCACTTTTCCTCTCAAATCTTGTAATATTCAAAACCCTTGGCCATCTTCAGAGATTGCTACCATGTTTGCATGATTGGAAATGTCAAGGGGAACATTTATAAATGAACACACCGTCTCTAGAAATGGATTGGTTCTCTTCCTATCAAAGCAGAAAATCTACCCAGAAACATGGTCATGTGTGAAGGTAGCATCCATCCTCACCCCCCTCCTGCATCCCTATCAATAAACTTTTACAGCAAATACCCCATTTTTTATTTTTATGGGCACATCGGCTGGAGAGAGATATCGGATTAATATGAGAATAAAGCAGGGCAGGGAAATGGGCCCTAAATATGGAAGGGAGGTCTGTCACGGCATCATCCAAAATTTGCAGCTTGATTCGGTGTTTACTGGGTCAGGCCACTGTAATTTATGGGTGGCTTAATCGCTCCCCTGTGCTTTCAGACTCTGGTTGAGAGAAAATGCAACTTAGTTTTGTTGTTATCTAGGGCTCTGTGCTGCTGAGTCAAGTTGCCAATGAAAGCTACCTAAAGTGAAATTCAGAGTGGATGCAATGTGAAGCAACCTGCTCAATCAAGAGGTTAGCAAGCCTTTCAAGGGACATTAAAAATAACCATTTGAACCCAGAGGGGAGGAATTTCATAGATACGTTAGGACTGATGCAGAAACTCACTTGCTCTTCAGACTCACAGAAAAAGCAGGTTGTATCAGGTGAAGTCAGACCAAGCAGGTCAGGTCTAGCCAAGGAAAGCAAAGGCAAGTCACAACAGACAAGGTCAGGTCAATATAGAGAAAGCTCATTCAAAAGTTTTCTTATGCAGAGGGCAGAGGGGAATCAGGACCCTGGATAGCTCCCATTAGGTCCTACTAGTTCAAGGTGTCTTGGCTAGCTATAAGATGTTGCCCCAGAAGGGAACTGAAGCCTTTTTGTAGGCCAACTGAGCTGAGTTTTTAAATGGTCCTCACTGGATATTGCTACCTTTGAGTACTGCAAGACTGGTAAAATAGAGGTAATGCATGGGATTCATCCTCTGGCTACATGCGTAGTGACAGGGCTATGTGGTGAAGCACTACATGCGCAGGACCAATTTGACAAAATATTTCCCTTCCAGAAAAAGAGGGCTGGGTTGTATGAAGATGACTTGCACCAAGACAGACCATTGGCCCAGCTAGCTCAGTATTTTCTACAATGACTGGCAGTGGTTCACCAGGATTTCAGGCAACAGACTTTTCCCACCCTACTAGGAAACATCTCTGGATCCAATGCCATTTGTAAATTATTATTATTTATTAAAACCTCTTTGGGTGTTGTCCATCAGAAGTTGCCTCTTCACCTGTGTGCAGAGAGGCCACCTGTGTGCTTTTCTACCCTTTGCACAAGCTTTCCTTGCTGGGTGGGAACATGAGCTGGCCTAAGCTGGGAAGGGCATCAGAAGTCACAAACTGGGGAGTTGTGGAGTTCACATGCCTTTGTCTTTGTGTCACTATGGTAGATTGCCAGAGGAGGAAGTTGTTGATCTCCTCTTTGTTGCACTGTGGTATGCCAGAGGGTAGAATTTGCCACTAAAAGCTCTGCAGGGATCCAGTGACTCAAAGAGCCAAGGGGATTGTACCACCTGGTATTATTAAGCTGTTGATTCTCACCCAACTCTCCCCAATGAGCATCTTGTTGAGCTGCTGAACCTTTAGAAGCTGTCACCAAATTTCAGCCTAAAGTGGAATTTGATGTGACATCTATCAGAAGCCCAAAAAACTATGAGGAGACTCCTGGGATTTCCCTGGGGTGTTCCACTCGTCTCTAAGGACACATTCACAATGTACATTTAAGCACTATGACTCTACTTTAAACATTTGCAGCATCCCCCAAAGAATTCTGGGAGCTGTGGTTTCTTAAGGGTGCTGAGAGGCCAACTATTCTTCTCACAGAGCTACAATGCTCAGAGTTTGCACAAGGATTGATTGTTAAACCACTCCAGAAATTACAGCTCTTAGAGGGAAATAGTGGTATCCTGACAGTCATTAGCACCCTTAGCAAACTACAGCTTGCAGAATTCCTTGGGAGAAGTCATGTATGGGGTGAAGAGAACAGGTTTTTACACTTTTTAAAATGGAGCTGATTTACTCCAGGTAAGATTCTTTGTATAGGGTGAAGATTTCCTGTTGCACGATTATATATTTGTGAGTTGAGGGATAATCCCTCTTCCAACCTCTCCTTCTTTTTCCTCCCCACCTCACAGTTGCAAAGAAAGAGGAACATTCTTTTAATTTAACCTTGCAAAATAGGTGAGAAAGTTGGCACATACCCCTTTCACTCTTGATCATCCTTGCAAAAGCATCTCCTTGGATTCCTCCAGTTTGCTGGAAATGACTTCAGCCTCACCTCATCTACTGCTGCATTAAAGTGATGGGAAAGAAGGAAAGACGTTTACCAGCCTCCCATTGCTGTTTACACACACGGAAGACACTGCTTGGTTTGTCAGAATTATTGAAGATGAAAATCAAGCTGTTATGACAAGCTCTCCCACTTGCAGCACTGCATGCTGATGACCCAGCTGCAATTTCCGGACAGGACTTCTTGGCATCTCTCTTGAAAAGGACGGAATCACCACTCACAAGGGGACAGTCATGGATGGGCACACAACATTTTGAAACAATGACATGACGGGGTCTCTGTGTTTATTTTATTTTAAGCACTGCAGGGTGGGGGTTTCCACTTATTGCTTCAGCCACATCATCAAGTGCTGGCAACGGGGGGGGGGGGGGCGGGACAGGGGAAACCATTCTCAGCCTGAGAGCTGCATTCCCTTCTGGGCTACCTTCTCAGTACCACAAGCCACAAACGTGAGACCTGAGGCAAAAGGTGATCAAGGCAATGAATGTGGCTCTTCCCCATTGCATACCACCTGACAGCCTGATAACTGGCGATGCCAGGGATTGAACCTGGGGCCTTCTGGGGCCTTTTGTAGGCATGGCAGGTGCTCTACCACCAAGCTGCCAGGGGACCAGCCCAGCACAAAGGACAGAGCCCTGCACACAGCTAACAGTGCCTGACTCAAGAGTGGGAGAACCAACAGTGAGTGGCATGGTGGTGCTGTAGAACTTTGATTACTCCTGAGTAGACTTCCCACCAGTGTTTCTTTTTTTAGCCAAAGCATACCAGAGCACACTTTTGGCACCTTTCAGGCAGGCGGCATTGCAGGCCAGCTCTCCCGCCAACCCCACCCCTGGGCTTCTTGCCTTCACATACTTCTGAGAAGCCCAAAATGAACATTTCAAGTCAAAATGGAAACTGGCCAGCTTGTGCAAGTCTACACTTTTTTTAGATCTATGACTCCACCTAACTCCTAGCTGCTCCTAGCCACAATTGGTCAAACTACAGGACGGGGCCAATTTGTATTTCATTTTCTCCAATCCATCTCCTTTGTAGCAGCAGTGGGCTTTAAGCTTTCCATCCAAGCCTCTACCATTGCACACACACACACACATGTGTGAGGTCCCTTCCGAGCTGCCCTAGCCATTCACCTGAATCTAAAAGAGCAAGGGATTTATTTGAACAGAACCAGCAGTGACCCCCAAACCATCTAGGGGGGGAGCATTGCTTCCCACTATCCCAGCCTAGCTCTCACAAATGAGATTTTGTGTTGGATCCCATGTTGTTTGCATCCCAATCACTCTCCTATCTTCAAAACCAGTCAAAACCAGCCAGCTTCAGAATCTGCTTCCTTCTTTACAGCACACTGCATAATATCAAAATCTCTGTGGGGTTATTTGATAAGAAGGATTTTCTCCCTGCTCATTCACATCCTGGCCTCAGCTGAAGCCTCTCCCAGGGCACCCCACCTTCATTCTGATAAAGGTGTGCTGCTAATTGAATTACAACCAAATGCAGCCCCATTACAATTAAAAGGCAATTACACGGGCAAATTGGCACTTAATTTAGGTGCAACAAACAAACATCTTTTATCAAAAATGGCATTTCATAGTATGTCGTTTCCAGCTTGCCTGAGAAACACTCCATCTTCTTTGGGTTATATTTAACAGGGAACCCTAGGGTAGCTTTGCATACAAAATATTCAGCTGCACTTTCAGTCAGTTGCAAAAGGGGGGGAGCCATGGTTTGGGTAAACAAGACACTTCAACAATAATTGCAAGCAAGTAATTTGGATACGGATTCTGGAAAACATGAGCAATGTGTGTAATATGAAAAATAGGCTGTTTATATCGTCATTTGTGTGTGTGTGTGAAAATGCTTCAATTTGGAAAGGGGGATGAGAGTACCATTTGAACAAGGGAGTAGCAAATGCCATAATATTGAAATACTGAACACATTAAAGCATAAATCAAATGTGGATGTGAATTGGCTCTGTTCAAATGCGGATGAATTCTAAAGCACCAAAGACTTTGCTTAAGTGGGAGGGCTTGATGTTACAGCTAGTTCGGGAAATGCCTTTTTTTGGATGGAATCCCATTTTCCCCTAAGGACTACGTTCTGAGTTTGGAGGTACTCTTAGATAGAGATTGACAGATCTGTCAGTTTTTGTTTCTCTCAGGTTTTAAATCTAGCCCCATTTCTGCATCTTTGCAAACTTTTCTTTTAAAGTCCTTTCCTTGTGAACATGTATATGCATTTCTTGTGTACATTTCTCCTGATACATGAATTTTGAGACTGTATTGTGGTTTTTATTCCCCCCCTAATATGCACATGCACTCTTTCCCCATGTGTGCTCTTTTGCATACATTTTTGGGTTGGTGAAGTACAGATTTCATTTCCGTTTCTATATTGATTTGGGAAATGTGAATAGGTAGGTTTGCATTAAGATGCAAACTGAACAAATGTCTTTCCCATCCCTATGTGTGGGTGAAACATTGAGAGTACTCTTGCACTCAGATTTTGCTTGCAGGCTTTCCATAGGCATCTGGCTGGGCACTCTGAGAACAGGTTGCTGGACTTTGATGGGCCTTTGGCCTGATCCAACAGCAGTCAAATGGGGCCCACAGCCTGATTTTACTTGGACCTCTGGGTTCATCCCCACCTATCAGCTATTCAGTGGGGAACAGCTGAGAGAGAAAAGGGGTTTTAATGTTGTGCAAAGTGTAAACTGCAGGCTCCTTCCTCTGCTAGAAGATCAAAGCTGAGGAAGAAACGACTCAGGAAAGAGAGAGAGACTTTAGTTTTTGGCAAGTACGCAAAAACTCGAGCATGCCATTTCCAGGATGCCGTTGCATCTTGAAGTTGGACGTTTTGAACAGCTGTAAGGCAGGGCTTGCAGTTCAGCTGCGCATTGATTTGCATTCTTCTGCTTGAATTGCTAAGTTCTTTTTGCCTTTTGCGCAGTCAGGACAGATAAAGAGCACTGGAGAGCTTTGTCCCCACTCCCACAAACTTTATTGTAAATAAAGTCTGTGGAGAAAACGGAAAGCGAAATTTCAGATCTGCAAAACCTGCACTTCCAAAAGGGCCATATAATGTTTGTTCTGCATCTGTTCAGAGTCAGTCTTCCAGTGTGGAAGCACTTACACCTTGGAGATCCCTTCAAGTGCCCCCTCTGTACTGTTTTAGATGCCTGCTAAAATGCATCTTATTTCAGCAAGCCTGTCCAGACACATATTTTAGTTATGCATGCAAGTTTGGAATATTTGCTGGTTATATTTATGTATTAGTAATAATTGTGTTGTTGTAGTAGTAGCAGTTGTTTAAATTTGTATACCGCCTTTCATCCGTAGATCTCAGGGTGGTTCGCAATATAAAATGACAATATGAAAACACACATAATACATAATAAGTTTAAGAATCTACCTAAACCACGTGTGGACTCAGAGCCTCTTCAGGAACCAATGGTGCCACTGTGGCTGGACCTTTGTTTTGTTTTTTTTAAATGATATTTATTGATTTTCCAACCATTTAAACACAATAGAACAGAAAAAACAAAAAAGGAAAAGAATAAGCAAAGAAAAGAAAAGAAAAAACATAAGATTAACAAAACAAAACGCAAACCATTTAAAACACAAAACAATTTCAATATCTTAGCTTTCATTCCCTTATTTCCATGACCTCCTCACACCTCCCTTTTTGTATTCCACTTCTATTAATTGTTTCAGCAATTCCTTTCCATCTTCCTCTGTTTTCTATCCTATAATTATCTTAGCATATTCTAATCTTATTTTTCCCTTTAATACTCTATTAGTCTATTTATACTTAATTCCTTATAGCATTTCTACTAAAGCCATATAACTTCATTCCAACATTTTTCTAACATTCATTATTTTTACAATGTTTCTATAAATAATCTTAAACTTTTTCCAGTCTTCTTCCACCGTCTCTTCTCCCTGGTCTCGGATTTCTGCCAGTCGTTTCTGCCAATTCCATATAGTCCATCAACTTCATCTGCCATTCTTCCCCGATAGATAAATCTTGTGTCTTCCAGTACTTCACAATGAGTATTCTTGCTGCTATTGTTGCATACGTGAAAAGAGTTCTATCCTTCTTTAACACCAATTGGCCGACCATGCCCAGGAGAAAGGCCTCTGGTTTCTTCAAAAGGTCTATTTAAATACCTTTTTCATTTCATTCTGAATCATCTCCCAAAGTGTCTTAATCCTTGGGCATGTCCACCAAAGGTGAACTCTAATCCTCAAATTTGTCTGTTTTTCTTTGAGTTCAGTCATAGCAAGCGTCAACTTATATTCATCAAGTTGCTTCTGTAGGGCTGGGGCTCTCTTGCTCTTTCTCTCCAATTGTGTTTCTATACATTCAGCAGCAACAGCTTTTTCCCTGGCCTCCTCCACAGTTTGCCGTATCGAAATAGGTTCCTGTGTCAATTTCTGGGTAGTTTCTATATTAGTATTATTTATACTTTCTATATTTAAGTTAGTCTTAATGATTGAAACATCCACTTTCGCATTTATCGTGTCCATTTTCCTGTGAAGCTGATCCAATGACTCATTTATCTTAAATAATGCCGCCACTGAGCCTCTTCTGTCAACATTTCTCTTGGTTTTACATATACTGGTACAAAGGCTCAGAAAAAGCAGGGGGGCCTGATGGTAGACCTCTCCTGGATTGTTGCCAGGTCCTCCCAGACTTTAATGTTTTGTCAGCAGTTGACTGGTCTGTTTTTCCTCTTCCATTTACCATAACACTTAAAAGATTCAAGGTCTGTCCCAGAGTCTCACGGTTTTTAACTTGCAGCTGGAAATTTCCCTAACCCAACTCTTGTAAAGCAACCGGTTTCAAAGGCTTCCACTAGGGGGAAACAGTTTCTATTTGTAATAGTCAATAGTATCCTCTTTTAAACAATCCGAAAATTAGTTTCAAGTTAGTTTCAATTTTCAGTTACTTTTACTCCTTTTTAAAGCAACCGGAAACAGTAGAAACAATGTACAGTGGTGCCCCGCAAGACGAATGCCTCGCAAGACGGAAAACCCGCTAGACGAAAGGGTTTTCCGTTTTGGAGGTGCTTCGCAAAACGAATTTCCTATGGGCTTGCTTCACAAGACGAAAATGTCTTGTGAGTTCCTGCGGGGTTTTTTTCCCTTTTCCCCCCTTTTTCCCAAGCCGCTAAGCCGCTTATCAGCTGATCCGCTAAGCCGCTAAGCCGCTTAACAGCTGATCGCTAAGCCGCTTATCAGCTGATCCGCTAAGCCGCTTAACAGCTGATCCGTTAAGCCACTAAGCCGCTTATCAGCTGATCCGCTAAGCCGCTTAACAGCTGATCCGTTAAGCCACTAAGCCGCTTATCAGCTGATCCGCTAAGCCGCTTAACAGCTGATCCGTTAAGCCACTAAGCCGCTTATCAGCTGATCCGCTAAGCCGCTTAACAGCTGATCCGTTAAGCCACTAAGCCGTTTATCAGCTGATCCGCTAAGCCTGCTAAGCCGCTAATAGCGCTAATCCGCTAAACCGCTAATGGGCTTGCTTTGCAAGGCGAAAAAACCACAAGACGAAGAGACTCGCGGAACGGATTCTTTTCGTCTTGCGAGGCACCACTGTATTTCT